CCTCGTCCTGTCCCTGCACCCCCTGATCCAGAGCCCCCCATCTCTCCTGTAGCCCCCTTTCAGCACTGGGAGGTGCTGGAAGGTCTCCCTGGAGCCTTCTCTTCTCTAAACACCCCCAACTCATCTCCCCTACGAGGGAGCTGCAAGTCAGAGACCAGACAGCGACAGCTGTGTCCATCAGCCCTTGATTTTTCTGCTCTTTCCTTTCCCTCCCCTGCCCCAAGGAGTTCTGTAACGCAATTACTTGACACAAACGGGATAAAGTGATCTAAACCACCCGTTAGCACGGGCTCAGCTGGGCATTTGAGGCTTAACCATCCGTAACAGCGGCTGGGTGCCGGTGTCCTGCCACCGTGGTGGCAGCGCTGGCGGCTGGGTGCGGGTGCTTGCTTTGGGAGTGCTGACACGCTGCTTGTTTTCATCCGTGAAGATGTCGATCGTGCCAGATGCTGACTGGAAATGCAGGCAAAAGACGAAGACTGTGCCGGACAGCAAAAACCCTGTCTTCCACGAGCACTTCCTCTTGTGAGTATGCCAGGGCAGAGGTGGCTCTGACCCATCCATCGGTGCCGCGTTCACACCGAGCAGCGGGGGACCCGCGTGGCTGCTGTCCCCGGGCACCCTCCCGAAGCCAAGACCCCGCGTTTGCTCTTGCATTATGATCTGTAATAAACACACATCACGCATGAGCGGGTCTGCTGCTGAGATGAGAAGTGACAGACATTATTCTGCTATTTTTTATAGAGATGAAATGCCTTGAACTTTTGGGCAGAGCTCTGCGGAGGCTCGCAAAACTGTCAGCACATGGCGTGGCAGCAGCGCTCCAGGCTTAATGGAGTTTCTTGCTGGGCAGGAGTTGGGCAAACACGCTCCATTTAGACCTTGCACCTGCAATAGTATGGGCATCGGTATGAGGGAGGAAGGTAAAAGGGTTTCCTGCAGCTACAGCATGTCTCTGCGTGGGATGGGAGCTGGACGGCTCGTTGTGTTTGGGAAGAGCTTGTCATTGAGACCCCACCCATCTGTGTCGGACCTCTGCCACCGAGCAACGTTTGATCCGGTGTAGGATGGTTGTTTCAGAGCATGAAATGTGGCTTGTTCCTTGCATTGACCCTTTGATGTTGGATGTGTGTCTTTCTGCAAGATTATTTTTCCCCTTAAACCCCCTGAGTGGTGTCCCCATGCCTGCCCAGGAGAGGTGCCATCCCTTTGCTGCTGTCACAAATTAGTGAATCGGTGCAACAGTGGCTCATTTGAGAAGATGCTGTTTGGGGTGATGCTGCGGTGCTCTGTGCAGAGATCGGAGGAGAAGACCTGGCTCCAAGGGGGGTGAAGGGTCTCCAGCTGCAAGAACAGCCTTCACTGAGCTCTCCTGGGGAAGACCAGTGCTCACAGGCTGTCCCCTCTGCTTCTTACAGCCCCGTGCAAGAGGAGGATGAGCAGAAACGTCTCTTGGTCACAGTCTGGAACCGAGAGAGAACTTCCAGGTAAGGGGCTGCCAGCCTGCTGTACAGTGCCTTCCCAGTGGGGCTGGTGCGTCAGGGAACTCGCCGGCTGCTGCGGCTGCCCTGCGGGAGCTCCTCCAGCCCCTGACGTTGGGGCTGCCCTGCGCAAAGGCTGCGGGGGAGCTGAGCAGTGGGGCTGGGACTGGGACCTGCTGGCAGGGCTGTTCTCGTGGGCAGCCCATGCTGGTGAGCACCCTGTGGGCTGGCAGGGAGGAAATCCTGCCCTTGCCCCTCTCTGTGCGCGTTGCTGCTGCTCGGTGGCCATCAGCCATCAGGCCAGCATTTAAAACCTCTGCAGCTGCTCGTGCCTGCACCACTGGCTAACACCTGGGGGGCTGGAGCGTGGCTCTGGTCCCAGGACCTTCCCTGCCTCTGGGGGCAATGCAGGGAGGGGGAAAGCCCAGCAACAAGGGGTCTGGCCCCTCGGAGGATGTGCTGCCTCCTCGGGCAAGTGCCATCTGCCTCCTTGGCCAAGCTCCTGCCAGCATCAGGTGGGCTGGAGGTGACCGGGATGCTCAGCACAGCTCCTCCTTGCCACAGCCCAGCTGTGTGGTTGCACCGTGCTTGCTCAAGGCATGGGGAGGGAGCCTCCATTGAGGCTTCGAGCAACCTGGGCTAGTGGGAGGTGTCCCTGAGGGGGTGGACCTTGATGATCATGAAGGTCCCTTCCAACCCAAACCATTCTGTGATGCTATGATCCTGTGTGCTGCCCGGCTCCTGGCAGGGGCAGGGATGTTTGTGGGGTCCCTGCAAAGGGGTGTGTGGGGGGAGCTGGTCTCTGGGGAGTTTTCCACAAGCATGTGCTGACGGTCTCCATCTCTCCTGCAGACAGAGCAAACTGATCGGCTGCATGAGCTTCGGCGTGAAGTCCCTCCTCACCCTGGACAAGGTACGTCAGTGCTGGAGCGCAGCGTGTGGGGCTGGGGGCTGGCTTGTGCAGGTCACGGGGTGGATGTGGTGCACCCATGGGGCAGGAGCAGCCTTCTCCCACTGTAGGACAAAGATGCGCTGAAGGTGCCCTGGTCCTGTTCCCAGTATGGATGGCCGCTGTGAGACTGGTGTTGGTGTGGCTGCTGGAGGCAGGGACAGGGAGGCTGTCAGAGGAGGGGTCCTGGGACAGGGGACTGTCACTCCCTTCTATGGGGACCCAAAGAGAGTAGCAGCAGTTGGGGGTGCAGAGGGGTGGCCCTAGGGATGCTGCCTGCCCTGCTCGCTGCCCCGCTGGGGGACAGGAGATGGGGCCAGCGTCGCTGTGCCTGCTGGCATGTGTCACATCCGACGTGTGGCCGCTGAGTGGGTGCAATGGTGGGGACGCACTCCTCCGAGGAGGAGTCTGCCTCGTTCCCTGTGCCCCACAGCCTCTCCAAGTGGGGACAGGGAAACGCAGAGGTCTCGGGCTGTCCCTGCTGGCAGGCTGTCCCTGTGCCAGATCCGTGTCCCCACTGCTGCGGGTTTGGTCACAGTGCTGCTGCCCCAGCCTGGCTGCTGCTCGGTAATACAGCTGCACGTCGCTGGTTTGCCTTCCTCCAGAAGCCTACAAGGCTCCTGCAAAAATGGTTCCTGGTGATCCACTGAAATGTGGAAATGTTCCATCCTGGCTGCCGGGGGTTCGGGGTGTCAGCCCTGCACAGCCCTGGGCTGGGGTTGGCACACCAGAGTATCTCGGCAAGCTGGGAGGGGTTTGTGAAGGTGTCGATACATCACCTGCGGTGTGGGAATTTACTCCCTAGCAAGAGGTTAAAGCAGGGCTGTTGGTGACAATGACCTGAGCAGAGGGTCAGAGGTGGCCTGAGCATGGCCTCCTCTGGAATTTGGACAAGAGAGACACAGCTTTTCTTAGAACGGTGAAGGTAATCAGGCAAAGCAGCTCTAACCGGCACCTCTCCCCCGGACGGGCCCCTGCTCTGGTCATATGTCCCCTCTCCAGGGATGTCCCCTCCTTGGCAGCTTTTGGCAGTGAGTGCCACAGGGTGTCATTGCAGCAGAGAGGAGGGAGAGTCCATGTGTAAGGCACCCACGCAGAGCATCCTGCTCTGGCAGGGGTGGAAGGAGGGTGCTGAGGCATGAGGACCAGCTGGGATCTCTGGTTCCTGATGGCTACCTGGGGAGCACTGCAAGACAGTAGTTGGTGAGGGATCACCAAGGTCTGTCCCGCTGCCTGCCCTGGCCCCATGGGTACAGGAGCCTGCTGAGGAGCACCCAGCGCCGCTGAAGGCTGGTTGGGGCACCCTCCTCTGGTGATGAAGCTGGAGCCCTGTGCTCCCTGTGTGACATGGGCAGTTTTACTGGAGACTTTTTCTGCACCATCTCTCCCTCTAAAAACCGAGAAGCTTCTTACTTTAGTGATGTTCAGTCCCTTCTTGCAGGGGGGGATGAAGATTCGGCTGTTGCTGTATCCTAAGAGCAGGACTCCAGGCTGTGTGAGCATCGCTGGGCAGCCTTGGTGTGCTGGGCTGGGGCAGCGTCTGCACCGGGACCCCTCTGGGGTTGGGGGCAGCCAAACTGGGTTAAACGGGGGCCAGAATCTGCCCCATCATTGATGGCTTCTGTCCTCCCACCCAGGAGATCAGCGGCTGGTACTACCTCCTTGGGGAGGACCTGGGAAGGACCAAGCACCTGAAGGTGGCCATGCGGCGGCTGAAGCAGAGCAGAGGTGGGTCTTGGGGATGTTCCAGGGAGTGTTGGCGAGGTTTGGAAGAGGAGTCAACCTCGTGTCCATCCCTGTGCTGGCATGGAGCAGCCCTCGGCCCCATGGCACCTGTGTCCCCGTGGGCACTTCTCAGCCCTGTGATGCTCAGTGAGCACCAGGATCCCAAAAGACCAGCATGGGGGAGATCCTGGCTGGTTGGGCAGGCTAGGCTCTAGTCCTCGCTCCTGTGGCTGTCTGGGGCTCTGCAGGGACCCCAATATCGCAGCCATGTCTCTCCCTCTTGCTTGGCCTTTTGTCCTGCTGATTAAGCCTGGGGCTGATCCTACGGCTGGATCCTGTGGCTGTCTGGGGCTCTGCAGGGACCCCAATATCGCAGCCATGTCTCTCCCTCTTGCTTGGCCTTTTGTCCTGCTGATTAAGCCTGGGGCTGATCCTACGGCTGGACTCTGGCTCCTGGGGTCTGTGCAGGATGGTGGGCAGCTTTTCCTCCTGCCTTGGCCTTGCTGTGCTGCCAGGGTGTGTTGAGAAGTGGCCGGCACAGAGCAGGGACAGCCAGCACCACCTGTCCCCAGCGTGCAACCACCCCATGGCTGCTGCCACCACGCAGGGCTGCCCCAGCCTGGAGGAGATGGGCCTGTGACATGTAAAGCTCTTGTATAAGGTGTGTAGATGCAGTGTGGAGGGAGAGGGGTTGTGGGGAGACATGTGCTGTCAGGCTGATATGGCCTTTCCCTTTTTTTTATTTTTTTTACTTTTTTTTTTTTTTTCCAGAGCCGATGCTGGGAGCTCAGGGTGCAGCGCAGGACAGCCAGGATGCTGTGACCATGGAGCAGCTGAAGGTAGGTGTGATGCCGCTGTGACCTTGAGTGAAGACGTGGGGCTGGGAGCTGGCTGGCAGTAGAGCCTGCATGGGGGGCTGTCAAACGAGCCAAGGGACAGAGCATTAGTGAGGGTGATTACTGTGAGTGAGGGGGCTGAGGCAGTGGCCCAGGGTGCCCAGAGAAGCTGTGGATGCCCCATCCCTGGAGGGGTTCAAGGCCAGGCTGGATGAGGCTTTGGGCAACCTGGGCTAGTGGGAGGTGTCCCTGCCCATGGCAGGGGGTGGCACTGGATGGGCTTTAAGGTCCCTTCCCACCCAAACCATCCTGGGATTCTATGATGCTGAGGTGGGAGCTGTGTCAGTCTCCCCATCGATGGCGTGGCTTTTGTTGGCAATTAGTTATCCTGATGGAGCACCAGCTGGTGGAGGTGGGTTTTGTGCATAGTAACCCCCCACTCACCCACCATTGCCATACAGGGACCTCCTGTTTTTCCAGTATATTGCCACAGAGACAAAGCACCAGCCATTAACTGGGACCAGTTGGGTCTGGGAGCGATGGGGACTGGGCTGGCTGCCTGCCTGCTGTACGACGTTGGTCCCTGGCCGTCTCTGTGGACGGGTGCGTCTGCTCCCTCCTCCTTTCAGGGCCGTTTGCTCTGGGAAAGGCCCATGGTGGAGCCTGGGTGATTTATAGGAAAGGCAAGGATGGGAAACGGGAACACAAACACATGGCCTGCATCGGAAATGGGGCTCGGCCGGCCCCGTGATTTATCTGTGCCGAATTCCGCTTTGCTGCTTCCCTCAGCTGCATTTTCAGTTATTTGTTTGAAAGCGTAGGACTGAGCAAGGCAAACAAAGCCAGCGCCTCTCTCCTCCCTTCCTCTCTGGCTGTCGCCACTGAACTTGAAAGATGGAGGCTGGGAAGGAAGAGCCATCCTCCTTCCAGCCCCAGCCCGGTGGCGCGGCGGCTGGGACAGTGTGGCTGGAGCAGCCCCGGGGCAGAGCCGCTGCCGGGTCCCCTGGGAGCGCTGGGGCTCCTTGTGCTCCCTCCCCAGCCTCCCTTGGCCCTGCTGTGCGAGAGAGCTGGGGTTTGGGTC